TTTTCTGACACAAATTTTTTCCTTTGAATAAATTAATTATATTATTAATTATATATATATATATATGTATTTAACATATTTTTATTTATTTTGTTATTATTATTAGGTGTAAAGATGGCATTCGATTTGACAAATTAAATTAATATTTTCTATAATAAAAAAAAATATTGATTGGAATATTAATAATTATTCTCTCGCTCTCCCTCACTTTACAGTTTCTTCAATATTTCTAGTTATTATGTCTAATTGACAAGTTTGTTCAAATGTTGTAAGATGTTCTAAAAATATTCATGAAGAAGATATGAATGTATGACTTATATTTATACATTATAATCTAAATGTGCGTATAATTTACTTACTTGTAACTTGTCTTTTATTTGGTTCTTGTAATTCTCCAGCTACAATTGTAATAATTGTTATAATTATTATTAAATTATAATTACTATTAATTAACGAAAAAAACAATTTCTATAATAAAAAACATACCAATAAATAATTCATCTAATGCATAATATGCCTTTAATTATTATTATTTTTTTTTTTTGTAGTTTTGTAGAAAAGAAATTTTAAATTAAATTTTTTAAACAAATATATATTCCTTGTCAAGCAAATAAAAAAAAACTTACTTTATCAAAATTGAAAATTATATCCATTTCACAAACATTGCCAAAGAATTCATATAATAAGATTTACTAATTATTTAATAATCTTTTCACTAAATAATTATTTCACTACTTGTTGTTACCTTTTGTAAATGACTTTATGTTCGCCATACTCTATAACATTGCACATTGATCTCTTCCTGGCCAATATTAAAGTTGTCAAATCATTTGTCAGGCTGATCTTCTCTTTCTCTGAAAAATATTGAAACCATTTCTTCAATCTCATTTTACCATGTCTACTAAAAATAAATAAATAAAAAATCTATACATAATAATTTATATGCATAATGTGATTTATTATTTATTCTCATATAATTTGCATACATTGTATATAAAAATACATTAATATTATATTTACCATTATGTGAAATTTTTCTTTCAACAATTTATTTTAAAAAAGAAAATTTGAACTCGTGTCACACGTTTTAATCAATCATTCAAATCACGAGCATGTTGCAAAATTGGAAATGAACAAATTTAAATTTTGCAAAGGTGGCTTGTTTTCTCATTTATAATCAACCCCCGCTTTGTTACAAAAAAAAATTTCGCATATGAATGAATAAAATATCGTCAATCCCAATTAACTTAACCATAATAATAACCCTAATACTAAAGACGCTTAATAAATGAGGAAAAAGAGAACTCAAAAAAGACAAAAAGAGGAAAACTATGACAAATACTGATGACGTCTTGAAGTAACTCTACAAAGGAAATAACTACTACTATAGATAATGATTGATAGGAGCGTTTGGATTTAAAGAGAGATCAATTATTTTAAAAGAACAGTGTACATATGTATATATAAGTAATTGATTGTCATTGGGAAAAATCACAGGACTAGTCTGGCTCCAATTCAAATTTATAGGTCAATTGGTCCTGGCTAAAAATTATCCTTTTTTCTTTGAATGATAAATACAAATGTGCTTACTCAAAGAAAATGTTTTTGCCTGAAGAACTTTATGGATAGACGAATTTTATGATAATTATGACGTAGAAAACAAACCACAAGTATTACACGGCAATGCTTACTCCAAGAACAAATCATACACAAGTACTTGTTTGTTTTCGAAAAGAAGGCTTTTCTTAATTTACTTTGTTTTTTTCTTCAGGAACTTTATACTACTAAATTTGCCTACAAAAAAAATGTCGTGTGAATATGAACGATTCTCTTTGCTGATTGTTGATATTCTTTTTTAAATTTGTAAATTTGTGTGATAAATAAAATATTAATATCAATATTTGCATTATAAACTTAAATATTTCGTAATATAAAAATAATTTCAATTAATATACAAGAAATTCTGATAATATGCAAAGTATTGTACAATGGTAACAATAGTAGAGATTTGAAGTTTTGTTTCCTGTGTATTAGTGATGTTTTGGGTTCGCTTTTTGATTTCCTCAAAATCGTATTCCAATTTAGATACTTTAGCTTTAAGCTGAGTATTCTCTTCCATAGCATGTTCCAATTCCGCAATTCTAGCCTCAAGCTCTTCTTTTTCTTTTGCAGTCTGCTCAATTCTTTGACTCTAGTCATAAGCCTGGCATTCTCTTGCCTCAATAAATCTGATTCGGATGAGTCTTTAGACTTGCCTCTTTGAGTCTCCATGTTAAAGACTAGTGCCGTAATCCAAAAAAGGAAAAAGTATGGTTGCAAAAGTGGTTGCAAAAGTAATTGCAACCACTTTTTATATGCCGTAAATACAATTACTACCATCATCATAATTTACGGCACTAGTCTTTACTCCATGTTGATAATATTTTTTTATATTTTTTTATATAAGATGCATATTTATTCAAATTTCGAATTAATGCATTTTCTACAAAAGATAAAAGTCATGTGTGCATAAGGAATCTTTATGCTGACCACTTTGGCAAGAAAAAAAATTGAATGCGTCCTCAATACTTTGATATAATACATCATTATACATAAGATATTGATATTAATATGTCTGGCAAATCTAGAAATAACAGACGAAAAACTCAGGGTAGATTCACTACAAATCCTACACAATATTTACAATTTCAAAACCGGGATAAATATGATCACATTATATAACTATCATAAATAAGAAGGCACAAGATGTAAAGGAGGTATTTGATTATGTAGAGGTATGTAGATATCTAGAGGTAAATAATCTCAATACAAATATTCTCAGCAGAACTGACGAGGGAGGTAATATGCATTGCAAATAATTTGGTTTATTTTTTTTTAATATGTGGATATAGAGTTATATGACTCATATTTTTTATAACTAGTATATTAGTGATAAAATTCAAAGAAATATAAAAAATAAATATAAAATCAAACCTATGGTGAAGAAACCGTTGAACTGTCTCCACTTGCGGCCTTCTTGGAGTTAAATAATAGGGACAGGTTAACGATGATAGTTAAAGACTAGTGCCGTAATCCAAAAAAGGAAAAAGTATGGTTGCAAAAGTGGTTGCAAAAGTAATTGCAACCACTTTTTATATGCCGTAAATACAATTACTACCATCATCATAATTTACGGCACTAGTCTTTAATGATAGTATTCTGTATGATACAAGTAAACTTAGATAAGTTATAAAACAGAACAGCATAGATTTTTTAGTGAATATACCTATAATAATAACAATACTTCCACAAACTCAACCAGCTTTTCAGTTTTCACAGTATGTTGTATTGGAATTTCAACTGAGCATAAGCAGTATAAACGATGAAATTCATCTTCACCTCGAATAAGAATAAATAAATGAAGCATCTTTCCAGCAACTTGGATTCCAACAATGCCAAAATCACCTTCATCTATTATACAACCCTTATGAGTCCAATGCATTCCATCATTTAATTCCCGCTACAACTTCGCCCAATCATTTATTTCTTTATCATCATTACAGACCAGACGTGAGCATTCGGAATACAAGAGTTCAAATATTATTCTTGTATGTTTTACCAAAAACATCACATCTGGTTACTTTCCCCTCTTTCCCCTCCGATCTTTATTAGCAATACTTTTCTGCACTGTGTAGATATTAAACATGCAAGTAAGAATATTTTTTTCTTAAAAAAATTGAGAACAATTATACTCACGTGCTGACAAAAACAGATTTCCTAAATGGAAGGCCTTTCAATGTGGCCCAAATAACAGGGACTATGATATCAGCTACATACGTCCCCTTGCTTTGTGAACTGGCAAATTTCTTGAATTATCCCAGACTTCTTCCCTATAAAATGAAAATAGTTATACATGTAGTTTTTGACCCACAAGAAATCATATGAGCTTAGCAAACATTTACAATGTGTTTAAAATCCTCTTCATAACTCCATGGAGTGTATCAACTCTTTCCTTCCAACTCATATCATGTGTAAGTTTGAAAAGTGAAACCTTGGCACTATCATAGTTGTAGTATTTCACGAAATTAATACACATCTTTTTTATGGACACCTCCATATGCCTCACAGGTTCCTAATAATACATTTTGACTTGAATAATATTCTTCAACACAGATGGTGACTAACACCAAAGTACACAGCTTCCAAGCAGATCCCCCATGAAAGGTCAGAAGCTTCAATATCATCTAATTTTCTTTGTAAATTGGGTGCATAATAAGACTTACTACTCTGAAAAAAAAAGATGCATAAAAATAAATTTCAGATGAGTTTTGATTCAAAGAGTTGATGATTATTTCTAAAACTTACAATGAGCTTTGTCTTCAAAGTTTGCATATTCTCTTTTATCTTGTCTTCAGTAATATTGTCTTTCTGTTGTAGGAAAGTCAATACACATATAATATTGGGGTGTGTGATACCCTAATTAAATCAAAATTAGGTGATGTAACATAATGGCAATCAACAACAAACTTTTTTTTTTAAAAACAAAATATATATAAAAAACTATAAAAATAAAAATTGTATCAGGGCCTTCAAATAAAGAGATACAAACATGAAACTAAGGGAAATTATAGTAAATAGATCAAACTTTTAGTTTATAGAGTTTTTTTCTTGCCAAATAAAAAAAAATTTTTCCAGGAGGATACTAAAATTCTTTGTAATTCAACTTATAAATAATTAAATCGAAAATTTTTTTTTAATTTATTAATATCTCATTGAATGAAAGAAACGAAGATCTTAAAGTGCTTATGTGATAATCATATCAAAGAGTCACAATGTTCATCTTATTGAGACCTTGCAATAAGATTAGGGAGTAAAAATGATACGGTATAGTTGGTTGTTGTTATATACTCTTGGACGAGTAAAATGTCAAGGTAATTAATTGTTTTATAAAATATTATAATAATAATATATATAGTACGTGGTAAACTTGATGAATTAGAAATTTTTCAAATAATTGATACAAAATAAAAATAATATAAATGCAATGCTAGATTATTAAATCTGATAATAATTTAGTAATTGCTGATAAACAATATGTTAACTATAATTTTGGGGTATTATTTAGAGATCCCTTTTTTAAAGGTTTAATTAACATGTGATTTATGTGATTAGTCATTCATTTCGTTTTTATATTCTTTTGAAAAAATGAATTTGATATTTGAAAAATATTTTAATGAAAATGAAAGATTATTAAATACTGATGATTTTTATGATGTAAAAATATATGTTGGCATAGAACCAAACATTAAAGAAGTTCATGCACATGCATCTATCATATCA